AGGTATCGGCAAGTGTTTTGTCTGTTTGCCAACTTAAAACAGAAATTAAATCAATATCACTTTTCTAGAATATACATGTGTTCAGAGGGAAAAGATTAAACCATGAACCAAGCAATAAATCACCTAAGTTTTTAGTTCAAAGACATAAACACAATAGTGATCTCAGAGATCAAAGCAAACAGCTCTTTAGGAGAAAGCCAGGTGACTGAAGGGTAATCTAATAAAAGCATAATATGCTTCTATAATAATAAAAGTGTAATATGCTAATTAGAACATACGTCTGATCCGGAGCTGCGAGGGAAGCCTGGGTCCCAGGGGCCAGAGGGAATCTGGTGCTGGCAGCTGGGGAAGGAAGGCCTACTCTTGCAGAATTTCATGCATGGGGCCTCTAGAATATATATAATTGGAAACTACTTCCACTGCTCTCATCTACTAAATGGCTCTGGAGAGGAACTCACACCACCAGGCCAAGAGTTTTCTCTGACAACCAGAGTAAGTAGCACAAGGTCCTGCTCTACCCTGGGGGTTCTGTGGCCAGCAGTGGGCCTGGCATTGTGGAGGAGAATCCAATTTAGTTTTAAAAACATTTCCTATTTTTATGGTCCATGTTTCTATTTGCTGACCATGTACCCAACTTCAGCTTCCTTTTATACATTTCAAAATACAGCAAACGCTCAATTTTGCGGAATTTGATTTAACAGACTTCGGATTTAATGGACAGAATTTCTGGTCTGTATGTCATATGTGAAAATTAACACCCTGTTAATTTAAAAATACTTTTAACTAAGATTTGCTTATAATTAAATTGACAGATTATTTTTCGTATTATTATTTTTTTTAAATATATATATATATATTTTATTGATTTATTACAGAGAGGAAGGGAGAGAGATAGAGAGTTAGAAACATCAATGAGAGAGAAACATTGATCAGCCGCCTCCTGCACACCTCCCACTGGGGATGTGCCCGCAACCAAGGTACATGCCCTTGACCGGAATCGAACCTGGGACCTTTCAGTCCGAAGGCCGACACTCTATCCACTGAGCCAAACCGGTTACGGCTCATATTATTTTTAACAAATGTTAGCGAATAGGCCATATGTAGAAAAAAAAACACTGAAGTAATTTTGCCAACATAAATATTACATACCTACAACTATAGCCAACTACATATTACATCCAAGAGTCACTGCTGATAAACAGTGTTTGGTGAATGATTAGCAGATGATCATACTGATCTGATCATACTGCCTCTCGAGGTAACTGGTTCTGTTGTGTGGCGTGACTTTCTGTAGCAGTTTTTTGTTGTTGTTAATCCTCACCTGAGGATTTCTTTTATCCTCACCTGAAGATATTTTTCCCATTTATTTCTAGAGAGAGAGATGGAAGGAAGGGAGGAGGGGGAAAGAGAAAGAAACATCGACATGAGAGGGATACATTGATTGGCTGCCTCTTGCATGCAGCCTGACCAGAGCTGGGAAACCTGCAACTGAGGCACATGCCCTTGACCGGGTGTCAAACCCTAGACCCTTTGGTGCACAGGTCGATGCTCTAACCACTGAACCACCAGCCAGGGCCCGAGGATATTTTTCCCATTGATTTTTAGAGAGAGTGGGAGGGAGGGAGGGAAAGTGGGAGAGGGGGAGGTAGAGAGGGGAAAGTGAGGCGGGAAGAGAGGGGGAGAGAGAAAAACATCAAGGTGAAAGAAATTCATCAATTGGCTGCTTCCTATAAGAACCCAGACTGGGACTTGGGATTGAGTCTGCAACCCAGGTACCTGCTCTTGTCCAGGAATCAAACCTGAGACCCTTTGGAACACAGGATGATGCTCTAATCGCTGAGACACACCTTCCAGGGTTTTGCAACAGTTTCAAGCCCTGCTGCCCGATGTTTGACTTGCACTAAGCCATGCCCCAGCCATGTGAATTTGTTTACTCAAGGTGACTGGTGAATGGACACATTTACTGGGCCTATTCAGTATAAATGTAAAATTACTGTAATACACATAGAAAACTTTTCTGTGAAATTAAACTTTTCATACATACTTAATTTTAATTACACCAATGTGTTTACTAGTATATAAGTAAAAACAGGTTAACTTATTTGCCAATTTTTTAACATATGCCTTTGGAACATCTACTTTATTATATATATAACAGACTTACAGCTTTAACAGACACCACTTTGCCCCAATTAGTCTGTTATATTGAGGTTTTACTATGCTTTCACAAGTTCAAAAATAGACATGCTTGTTTTATTAAATATGCCCTCCTATTGCCCAGCTGGCATGGCTCAGTGGTTGAGTGTCGATCTATGAACCAGGAGGTTATGGTTCGATTCCCAGTCAGGGCAAATACCTGGGCTGCCAGGCTTGATCCCCAGCAGGTACAGGAGGCAGCCAATCAATGATTCTCTCTCATTACTGATGTTTCTATCTTTCTCTCCCTCTCCATTCCTCTCTGAAGTCAGTCAATCTATCTATTGTGGGAAGCCGCCCACTGTCTTCACTAGCGGAGAGGTGTGGATAAGGAACCTGGAAGGCTGGTGACCCTTGAACCCTGGCAAAGGTCAGAGCTATGCACCCACTGTTTAGTCAAGACAATGGTAGCTGGAGCAACTTCCCCCCCAAGATAGTCATGTAAATCCCTACTGATAAGATAGTCTGTCTGTTACTGGAAATTGCCTGCCTAAGGGCTATGGGTAGATCCCAAAGTGAATAAAAGGATGGCAAGGCCTGAGCACAAGTGGAGTCCTTCCTCTTGGGATGGGCTCCCGCCTGGCCCCCCAATTTCCAAATTATTGTTTTTGTCTCGTCTCTGTCATTTGCACGCGGCCCCTTCTCCAGAGCCCAAACCCTGAACCACGCGGGACATGGGACATTATCTATCTATCTATCTATCTATCTATCTATCTATCTATTTATCTAAGGCTAAGTGTCTGTCTGTCCGACCCGGTAGCTATGACGCCCACTGACTACCAGGGGGCAGAAGCTCAATGCAGGAGCTGCCATGATGCGTACTGGCCATTTAAAAATAAACGGCACCATGGACCTGGCACCGACAAACCAACACTCAGCTTCCCCCAAATGGGACACAGGCCCCGCCACCACTTCAGAGCGACACCCCACCAAATCGCAGCCAACACTGCCAAGACCCCAGTGTGCAAAATGCAGCCCAGCCCAGCCCAGAAACGGTGACTGTGGGCGCTGGGTAATGACGTCACATAGCAATGCCCGACTTCCTCTCCCTAGTGACTAGTCTCTTTGGAGTTTCCTCAGCCCAGGAACTCGACTTGCTTTATAGCCAGGTGCAAACATTGTACAGTTTAACCAAATGTCTGTGAAGCATTTTCCCATGCCACATCTCATTTGATCCTCACAGAAGTCCTAGAGTAGGTAGATAGGAGACTTGGTGGAATCCTATTTTCTTTTCACTAGCCAGAAAACAGAAATTTGGAAAGCTTAGAAACTTGACCCGACTGAAAAAAGAAATGGTGGACCTTGAAAATGACTTCAGGTTTTCTCACTGTGTAGAATATACTCAAACACTACTATAGTTAAATATTTTACCCTTTGTTCTCCCTGCATGATCTACAATAATAATCTGCTTCGTGTTGATATTTACTGCTGTGTTGCTGACAATTACCTGAAAGAGAAGTTGGGATGCTTCACTGGGCTGGAAAAAGTTTAGCTAAATCAGAAAGCAGGTCTAATTAAGCAAGTTTATTCTATATCTATAAAAGGCTAAGTTGACTCATGCATGTGTGATACATATAAAGCTCTTGCTGGCGCCAATCGCATGCATCTGTTTTGATCTGTCATTGTCGATCATGAATTTGGTTGACACTTCTATTATCGAGAAAGGGCGTATAGTGATATTAAAATATTTCTTCTAATTAATTTCATTTCGACGTGCATGAATCTGTGCACTGGGACATATATATGGCCAAGTGACCACCGTCTGTCCGTCCAACTGGCCAGTACATATGAGCACACACTGGCAATTTAAAAATAAACATTGACTTATGCATGCGTGATGCATATAAGGTTCTTGCTGGCGCCAATTGCACATGTGTGTTTCGATCTGTCGTTGTCGATCCCTGTCTGACACTGGCCTCCCATTTAAATTAATTAGAAGACAGTTTCCGTGATGCCAGCATTTGCAAATGACTATTAATAAATCACAAGGACAAACTCTAGACAGAGTAGGAATATTCCTACCTGAACCCGTTTTCGGACATGGTCAGTTATATGTTGTTTTCTCTCAAGTTCGAAGAGTGTGTGCCGTTAATGTTAAAGTTGCAAATACTTTATCATGGGAAATTAGTCAAGCACTCTGAAAGTGTTTTTACTCTTAATGTGGAATACAGGGAGATATTAGAATAAGTTTAATAAATTTATCAGTCATTGTTTTTATCAATGTTTTTATATCATGTCTTTGCTGTTGTTATATCATGTTATTATTTATTAATCAATTTATATATTATTTTCATATACATTTTACTAATTTTCTTTCATCTCTGACACTTCTATTATAGAGAAAGGGTGAATAGCGGTATTAAAATATTTCTTCCAATTAATTTCCTTTCAATGTGCACGAATCTGTGCACCAGGCCACTAGTGTGTGTGTGTGTGTGTGTGTGTGTGTGTGTGTGTGTATGTGTTTTTAAAGAAGATACATAATAGGAGGATATATTTTTTAATTGATTTCAGAGAGGAAGGGAGAGGGAGAGAGAGAAACATCAATGATGAGAGAAAATCATTGATCGTCTGCCTCCTGCATGCCCCACACTAGGAGATCGAGCCCACCACCCAGGCATGTGCCCTGACCAGGAATCGAACCATGACCTCCTGGTTCATAGGTTGATGCTCAACCACTCAGCCATGCTGGCCAGGCAATTATTTCTCTCCTTATCAGGCGCTTGTTTCTGGTTCTGAGTAACACCTGTGCTGCGGCAAGGGCAGCTGTGGGGAGCTCTTTGGAGGCATCTGGGATGACTTACCAATGTTAACTGAGTCCTCCCAGTCTTCCAGCACCTCCGTGACAATGAGCACATAGACATACGTTCTGTGCTTCCTCTCCTGGTTCTGAGGGCAAAGGGAGGAGGACAGAGGAAGAGTTACTCCTTACAGAGCTGAGATGACTTATGCGAAGTGCACTCTCACACTATGTCCAGAGAGGTTAGACACAGGATTCCTTTTACTTTTCATTGTCCTACAGTCAAACATGAACGAGTGCCAGATGGCCTATTTGAAAGGGGCCACTTGCATTTGAAGGTAAGCTCCTTGGCTGGGTTTCTAAAGCCAAGGCTTTATTCTCTGTTTTCCTTCCCTTCCCTTAAGTGAAACTTCATGGAAATGCTGTGAACAGGAAGTCATGACCTCTCAAGAAAAAGGCACCAAGTAAATTTAGGTAGCTGGGCACCAGAAAGAAAAGAGACTGTGGATGGGCAGGGCCTCATCAGGGCAAGCCAGTGATCATCTCTTTTCCTACTAACCTCTTTATTCCCTGACTTCTCACTTCCCTTCACCTCCTCCCAATCTCTACCCCAGTAGATTTCCTTGTTTCTCTCTCTTTTGCTATAGCTGCTTAATCTTCCATTTTCCCTCTGTCTTCTCTGCACTTATCTACCCCCTCACATCTTAGGAGGAAAGGTAGAGAGATAGAGATGGGGATAAATAATACTTACAAATAATATTCTAGCTCTTTGGAGGAGACAAAGACTACAATGGACTGAATATTTATGCCCCCACCCCTCAATTTATATGGTGAAATTACATTCCCCAATGTGATGGTTTCGAGGTGGGGCCTTTACGGCTGACCCTCAGGAATGGAATTAGTGCCCTTATAACAGAGACCTAGAGAGCAACCTTTCATTTTCCACCACATGAGGACAGAAACAGCCGTCAATGAAGCAGGAAGCAGGTGCTCAACCACGCTGAATCTGCTAGTGCCTTGATTTTCCACTTCCAGACTCCAGAATTATGAAAAATCAATTTCTATTATTAATAAGCCACTCAATTTATGATAATTTTGTTCAGCATCTTGAATGGACTAAGACAAAGATATATTTGGTTATTAATACGATACCAAATGTACCAAAGATTTTAACAGACTTACCTCAAAAATTCCAACTAATCTTCCCAATGTCCCTTTTACTCCAGCCTGAAAAGTGGGAAAAAAATTGACATTGATGTTGTTTATATTGTTGTCTCATTCTGATTCTTCTGAGCAGATTTGTAAAATAGAAATGAAAAACAAAAGGACACATTTTGGTGGGAGTCACACCAGTGTTTTATGTGTCACTGACAGGAGCATGTCGTCTCCTCCCAGGCTCTCCCCACACTGCAAAGCTGGCCAAACAGAGCAGATAATCAAGGCCACGGATTACTTCACTCATTTATTCATTTGTTCAACAAATGCACACTGAATGCCTAATATGAGCCAGATAACACCATGTACCAGGGATATAGTGATGAATAGGCTAGAACAAAAGGGCAAGGCCCTTGTCCACAGGGAAAGGCCCTTATCTGACTTGTTCTTGGATGTCTATGTACAGTGTGCCCAGGACAGAGCTCAGCACCTGGCAGGAGTTCAGCAAAACTAAGTCAACAAAAACATACACCCGGTCATTGTGCCAGTGACAGGAACTGACAGAGATGCACAGAGCAATGTGAAGGTCAGAAAGGGATGAGGAGAGCGACAACTTCATCCAGTGGTTAGGCATTTGAGTATATACTCTCTATCTCTGATTATTTTATTTATTTATACATTTTTAAGATCTGTGTGTTTCTAATGTATTATTCAATCTATTCCAATTTACTAATTTTCTTTTAAGCTGTATCCGGGCTAGAGTTATCCTACCTCTAGTCTGCATTTTATTTGATATTTTAAATTTCTACATGTTCTTACATATCTATCTGTCTCCATTACATACGACCTGTGAATGCTGCAGACAGAGCCATGGAGTCAGAGGCGGGCTGGCTCCCTCCTTCATGTGCACTGCCTCTGTGTCCTCTCCCTACCTAGTCCACATCTTTCTAAGTCTCAGCTCCTGGTGTCCTTCCCATCAGGCACCTGGGCCCCACTCCAAGGGTCCAGGCTGCATTCTGCCGTGCCACTCTGTTTCTGATCTATGGAGGATTACTTCATTCATTCATTCATTCATTCATTCATTCATTCATTCATTCAACAAATACACACTGAATGCCTAATCTGAGCCAGATAACACTTTGCTCGTGAGCCAGACTATGACTTTTTTAGCTTTTGCTTTTTATATCTGTCTCACAGGTCACCTTGGAGCAGAAGCCCTAAAGGTCAAGACCTGGTGAAAGCCCCCTCACAAGTACGCCTTCATCAACTGGAACATGAATGCACTTCCGATTCAATGAATTTTGTAGCATGGCCTGACAAAGAACTGAAACATATTCAGATGATCAAGAAATAAATAAAGGAATAGCTTCTATTTTAAAAGAACAAAACATGGAAACAAAATCGTATGTAATGGAGAGAGATAGATATGTAAAGGGTCAAAGGTGAGGGAAAGATGAACCCCTGGAAATGCCACGGAATGTTCTAACCTGTTTTCTATTACTACTACCTTATTTGTATAATGACCTAAAAATTAAGACAAAAATATTTTCTAAACACAATACAGGTGCTCAGTAACTTTGTACAGAATGAACAAAAATTTAAACTAAGTACTCTAAAAGTTTTTTTGTTTTATTAATCTTCACCCAAGGATACTTTTCCATTGATCTTTAGAGAGACTGGAAGGGAGGGGGAGAGACAGAGAGAGAGAAACATTGATGTGAGAGAGACACGTGCGTTCCGACCAGGGCCAGGGATCAATCCTGCAACCAAGGTGTGTGCCCTTGATCAGAATCGGATCCAAGACCTTCAATTGTCGGGCTGACACCCTATCCACTGTCCACTGAGCCAAATCTGCTAGGGCTACTCTAAAAGTTTTAAGAGATATTGAACAGAAGCAAAAGAAGCCAATTTAAAGGCCTACATGCCTAAATGAACTATATTTTAAAATTAATTTTTGCTAATTATCTGTCAAGGAATTCCATTCCTTTCTCTTGCCAACATGCCTGTTTCTTTTCCTAGTCTTTTCCACATCCAATCTTGTCCCCATACGGCTTCCAGTCTACTTGAATGGAAATGTCTACCTTTTCTTCTTTAAATTGCTTCTCTACAGTTTTAGAAATAACTGCACTTTCACAGCCAGCTAAGGCCAGCTAGATTGTACTTTATGAATTAAGCAGTGAAGCAGCCTGAACAACTGGGACAAGCTGGCACAGCAGCATGAGCTGGGAAGCCAATTCTGTCCTCTGATCCAGGCAGCCCAAGCCCACTCACATGTGTCCCCCTCACCCTGGTCACAGGAATGCACTGACAGGGCCAGGGAGTAGAGCTGTCAGGGTTGGGATGAGGGGGAGGTAAAGAAAAATCCATAGAGGTTCAAAGAGGCCATCATTTTTTTCTTCTAGAAAGTGGAGAAAGAGTTCTCTTTAGCAGTTATTGTGCAATTAATTTTTTTTGTTAATTCTCACCCGAGGATATTTTTTCCATTGATTTTTAGAGAGAGTGGGAGGAGGGAGAGGGAGAGGGAGAGGGAGAGGGAGAGGGAGAGGGAGAGGGAGAGGGAGAGGGAGAGAGGTAGAGAGGTGGAGAGGGGGAGAGGGGGAGAGGGGGAGAGGGGGAGAGGGGGAGAGGAGAGGGGAGAAGGAGAGGGGGAGGGAGAGGGAGAGGGAGAGGGAGAGGGAGAGATAGAGAGGGAGAGGGAGAGGTAGAGAGGGGGAGAGGTAGAGAGGGGGAGAGGGGGAGAGGGGGAGAGGGGGAGAGGGGAAGAGGGGGAGAGGGGGAGAGGGGAAGAGGGGGAGAGGGAGAGGGAGAGGGAGAGGGAGAGATGAGAGAAACACAGCTACTGGTTGCATCTTGCATGTGCCCCAATTGAGGCTGACCAGGGCAGAATCAAACTTGCAACCCAGGTACATATCCTTGACCGGGAATCAACCCTCCACCCTCGGTGCATGGGCTGACGCTTGGAACCACTGAGCATGATCCCATTCACCCTGACCAGGGCACATGTCCGGGTTGCAGGCTCCACCGCCAGTATCGGGCGTGAAGGAGGCAGCTAATTGAGGTCCTCTCTCATCAATGTTTCTCTCTCTTCCTCCCCTCTCTCTAAAAATCAATAAAACGTATTAAAAATGTTTTTTATCTTAAAAATCCCAAAAGTTTAGAAAATGGTCTTCAAATTTTAAGGGCACAAATCAACTTCATATTATGACAATTCAATATAATTTAAAAATTTTGTTTAATAGTAATTTCTGCATTCAGCATCAACATATAACCTGGATTTACTCTGTCAGGCGCAATTGAGAAAAATATAAAAGCATTTTCCTTTATAAAGTTTATGCACTCATAAAATCTAGAGTAAGTCAAACCACACCGCCATCTGGACACTGACATTTCAGTGGCATTTACTTTCATTTCTCATTAATGTTCAAGTTGTAGAAACTAACGGTAGTTTTATTTGTTTCTTAGTGTTTCTTTCGAGTTTTATATTAACACTTAGGGGATCTACTTGTATAAATTCTACCTAAGGTGATCCTACCAATGATTCTATAGTAAAAAGCCAAGAAATATTCCTCTATTTACCAGTTGTTATTTATTTTTATTTAAATAAAAAAATATTTTTATTGATTTCACAAAGCAAGGGAGAGAGAGAGAGAGAGAAAGAGAGAGAGAAACATCAATGATGAGAAAGAATCATTGATCAGCTGCCTCCTACAGGCCTCACACTGGGGATGGAACCCGCAATCTGGGCATGTGCTCTGACTGGGAATTGAACCCTGACCTCCTGGTTCAAAGGTCGACACTCAACCACAAAGCCACACTAGGCTGAGCTATTTACCAGTTTTTAAAATTGAGCCTCAGACCGGGCCATGGTGTCTCCATGGTTGAGCATCGACCTCTGAACCACAAGGTCACGGTTCAATTCCCAATCAGGGCCAGGAGGCAGATAATCAATGATTCTCATTACTGATGTTTCTCTCTCTCTCCCTCTCCTTCCCTCTCTGAAATCAGTAAAAATGTATTTAAAAATGTAAATAAAATTGGGATTTAGCAGTTTTCTTAGGAGAAGGCTCTTCTTTACTACGAAAGAGAATTTCAGTTCTTAAAAGTCATAATGCTGAAAAAGACAGATTCCTCATGGGCAAAGGCCCTCCATGGCAAGGTTCACTATAACCATTTTACTTTTTCATCTTTTCCCACAGTCCAACTTCCATCTCCCAGCTCTCTCTCATGCTGCCGCCAGCAATTGGGCTGTTATTTTTATCTCCCATGTGACTCTTGCATGTAGGTTGGGGTAGGTGTCAGGGTCACATCTGACAGATTTCTGGCCCAGACATTGGGGATAAGATTTGGTTCAGGGTACATGTAAGGTGGTCCAGCCAAGGTGCTGGTATGAACCTGTCTTTCTCAAATTCATTTGAAGCAGTTATAATGTCAATCTGTATGTCACAAGTTCCTACTCCAGAGGAGACTATTTAAAAGTCCTTATTGCCCTAACCGGTTTGGCTCAGTGGATAGAGCGTCAGCCTGCAGACTCAAAGGTCATCCCAGGTTCGATTCGGTCAAGGGCATGTACCTTGGATGCGCGCACATACCCAGTAGGGAGCGTGCAAGGAGGCAGCTGATCGATGTTTCTAACTCTCTATCCCTCTCCCTTCCTCTCTGTAAAAATCAATAAATATATTTTAAAAAAAAGAAAGTAAAAGTTCTTCTTAGCAGGAAGACATCTAAATAGCCCTGGCCAGTATAGCTCAGTGAATAGAGCGCCAACCCATGCACGGAAGGGTCCCAGGTTCAATCCTGGCCCAGGTCAGGGCACATGCAGGAGGCAATCAATCAATGTGTCTCTCTCACATTGATGTCCCTGTCTGTTTCTCTCCCCCTCCCTTCCACTCTCTTTAAAAAATCAATCAATGGAAAAAATATCCTCAGGTGAGGATTAGCAACAACAATAAAAAAGAAATCCAAATAAGTTATCTATTGGCCTTTATTATTCAACCATACGCAGGTGAACTTTAAAATACTAATTCTAGCACTTTAGGTCTAGTCAACAAACATAATCTGAGCAAGTGCCTAGT